ACACAGGGGGAAGGAGGGTGTGTTAGAAATGCAATAGAAGATTGAGTCGAAAAAAAACTAATAGAGACTAAGGCAAAAGAACGTCTAGGTAAAAGTGGAGAACTATCAGAAGGCAGGAGTCCCTGGGCGGTGCCAATGCACTCAGCTGCTTAGTGAAGGACTGGAGGGTGGAGTACACCCAGAGGCACCTGGCAGTCTGGAAATCAGCTGTTGGAACCCTATGGACCACAGTTCCACTGTGATACACTTGGGGGTGCCATGGGTCAGAATTGGTTTCACAGTAGCTGGCTTGTCTGAGGTCAAGCTGCCAACAAATAGTTTTCCTACAACATCAGAAGACCTGTGAAGGATGCCACCTTCTAAAACTTCAGGAAAACCAATTTCACATTTAAAAAAACAAAACAAAACAAAAACCCATAGTGTTGAGGTCAAATCCCATACAAAATTATTATAAGAGAAAGATTAAGGAACAGATGGCATCTGTTCATCATCCCTATGAATTGTGAACGTGCACAAGAAAAACATGCTCACAGAACCTGTAACCTTCTAGTTCAAAGTCAACGAAGTGCTTTAAGAAAATTATCAATTAGCCCACAGCAGGGTGGGATGGGTGGGTATTGTTAAGTTAGAATTTTAAAAACCCAGAAGTGAGGCAGTAGAACTTAGGAAATAATTAGCCATGAAAGATAAAACAACTCCAGAAACAGCCACCAGGCTAAATGAGCACAAAGGTGAGAGCACACAGAAGAGCTAGAGAAGCTGAAAAGAAGAAAAGGTTTTAAAAAATTGCAGAAGAAATGACTTGAAGAGAAGTAACAGATATTGAAGACAGGCAAAGAAGAACCAACATGCACGTTATAGAAATCACTGAAGGAGAAAACCACAACAAGGAAGGGAGGAAAAAGAAATACTAAAAATGAAAACTCAAGGAAGCTTTCCAGAATTTAAAAAAACACAAAACTTTAAAAAAATCCACATACCTGGAAATATCAAAGAGTGTCTGGTAGTGCTATGATTAAAACACTCAGCTGCTAAGTGAAAGATCAGTGGTTCAAACCCACCACACACTCCAAGGGAGAAAGTACAACCTGCTTCCATACAGATTTACAACCTGGGAAAC